AATACCATCTTCGACGGCTGAAAATATAGAGCATAAAAAGGTCTTTTTATGAGCATCTCATGGTTTTTTATTGTCTGAAGTTCACTGGTCTAAGTGATTCAAATTCGTGCTATTATGGGAAATTTTAATATTTCTTATTAAAAAGACTTTAGATTTCTAATTAAGGACGAAAAAATATTTTCTCGTAAAAAATATAATGAGAGCTAGCTGTAGTATGTATTCTCCAAAACCAAAAGGGATTGATGATTGATGAAAATCATCTTGGACGGCTGTAAATAAGAAGTATAAAAGGGACTTTTTATGAACATCTCATTGGTTTTTTTTATTATCTGAAATTTACTGGCCTCACTTATTTAAATTTGTGCTATAAAATTTAACTCGAGATCTTTGGTTAATGAGTCAAAGAGACCTTTACTATTCCATCTATTAAAGAGAATTTTATTTTCAGAACTTAAACTCGAGATCTCTAGTTAAGGACGAAAAGATCAATATTATTCCGCCATAACCTTTGGTGGTACGAGTACATATCTCATGCTCATTTTACGGCTCTTTTATCCCTTTTTAAAATGCCTACCTGCTAGTTCAATTTTTTTATAATTGTTAAATCTACGAACCCCTTCAAGGTCTTGTGACTATCAAAATAATATGATATGGAGAATTTAACAAAGATCCTTTTCATTGGTTGCGGAGTTTTTCAAGAATCTAAAACTCCAAATAAGCATAGTTGGACTGATTGAGACGGAAAAAGAACAATTGGTCTTGTTGAGGATTTTAGGAATTATTTAATTGCACAAAATAAATGGTCTACGTTTATCAAAAGCGAGGGGAATCAAATTATATATAAGAAAGTCGCTCTCTACAAGTCTCCAACAATACCAATTGGATAATGTTATTTAGTAGGCGTTTGGACATAAGAATTGTAAAATTCGGAAAAATGATAAAAAAAAAAAGTTTAAAGTGAAAATGGTATTTGAAATTTAGAGTTGTGTTTGGACATAAATTTCAGTTTGGGTTGTTTTTGAAATTTTGTGAGTGATTTGAGTAAAAATTTTGAAAAACAGTTTTTTGCAGTTTTTCAAATTTTCGAACATTTCCAAAATGCATTTTCAAGTGAAAATTGAAAATTTTATGAACAAACGTTGATTTCGGAAAAAAACTGGAAAAATCTTCAACCAAATTATATGTCCAAACGGGCCCTTAATATGGTAAAGCGAGAAAAGTCTATAAATCCTAGATTGATGCCATCCCAAATGTCAGTGTTTAGAGTTGACAATGTAACCTTGCGTTGTGAAGTTACCTGAAAGGGTGTAATACATAAGGGTAAATATTTTGAACTAATATTCCTCAAACTTTAAATAGGATGGCACTTTAACTACTTGCTGATACGATGATCATGATTAGGGGTGTGCAAACAAAATCGATAAACCACACCAAATTGATAATTTGAGTCAAACCGAAGAAAAAAAACTCGATTGTAGTTTGGTTTGGTATTGGAAAAAAAAAATCGGCCATAATTGGTTTGGTTTGGTTTTAACTAAAAAAAAGTCAAATCGAAACCAAACCAACCCGATAGTACATTTATACAAATTTTAAAAATACTTTATACATATAAATATTTATTGTAATTTAATTTATTAATACTTCTTAAATTGTTTTCATAGTTTTATCTTTTGACTATTATTTCAAGTTTGGACTTAACATTCTTGAATGTAAATAAATTAACTTAACATTCTTGAATGGTAAATAAATTTATAACTCATAAATGTAGTAACTCAAACAAAGTTCAAATCAATACTAATGCTAACAAAAGAAATTCATGAATTCAACACTAGGAATGACGATAGTGTTGAATATCTATATTTTATGTTTACATTAGTTTATAATTAAAATGCATAGCTTAGTTCTTTAGTGCTTAGTTATGTAACTAATAATACTTATTAGCTATACTTATTTTAGCATGACTTATATATAGTATTTTTAGATTATGTTAATTTTCATTATAGGTTATTAATTAGCAATATTTGATTTATGTAATTTTATTATCTTTGTTATTGAATATTTTAGTATAATGCTATGACTTATTTCATATTATTGTGTTATTTTCTTGAAAAATATATTATATAGTTGTATCTTACTAGGACTAAAGAAATATTTGGAGCACAAGTTGCATATTTTGTGCTATGAAGACTTTACCCGAAAAAACTCGAAAACCCGAAAACAAAATCGAAAAACCCGAGAAAAATCGAGATTGAAAAATCCGACTTTGTTGGTTTGGTTTGGTTTGTAAATTTAAAAACCTAACACTATTGGTTTGGTAATTGAAAAATCCGAATCAACCCGACTTATGTACACCCCTAAACATGATCTCAAACTCTTAAAACATAGGAGTAGTAATCTCTTTTTTTCTCATTAACTATAGGGATGTTATCTATAAAAAAGTACATCATTCCCATAACCAAAATTCGAGACCTTTTACTTAAGAATGAAGTAACCTTTATCAGTTCACCACACCTCTTGGTAGTAATCAGTTTAGTTAATTAAATTGTATCCAAATGCTTTTATATCTTTTATTTCCTTAATAAAAATTGATATTTGGTCATTTACTTAGCTTTTTTAGTATATTTGTTTTCATTTTACACCAGTATTTCATAACCGCATTGGGGGTCCGATACTCCAAATTCGAGCCACATAATGCCTATTAAAAGGAGAAGGCCATCTTACTAGAACTTTTTTCATCCTCGTGGCTCAAACATAAGATCTTTGATAAGGGTGGAAGAATCCTATATATTCATTCCACCACAACTCTGGATGATTTATCTGGTTTAGTTTCTGTTTAGAAAATATCTTCATTCTTCTATTTTTTGTTAAAATGACTAAAAGTTATCCCTATACAAGGGGGCGAAGCGTTAAGAAGAGAAAGTATATCGCGATACAAAATAAAGTGGTGGCTAGTACACTAAGCTTAAATCAACTATTGTTCAAAACATAGAGCCTTTCTTTCTTAGTCGTCTGGTTTAATAAGTGAATTTCGATATGCTCTTAATATTTAGTTTAAAGTATATATATTTTTACGCATATTGCCTCACATTTTACTCATGTTTCGTAGACTTCGGATGTGAAATTTAATAATTTGTGCTAATTCGTAATATTACTATGTGTAGCAATTATCCGGAGGCAATATAGGGCGAAGGTGCGAGATTGGAGGCAAAAAGGAGCAAAATAGGAAAATTGCCACAGAGTAGCGCCCAGGCTAGCGTGGGACGCTACCTGTGGCAGTGAAGTCAGAGTGAAAAAAATCCCAGTGCCAGGGCTAACACCCCATGCTACCCTGGGCGCGGGTGACGGGAAAATTCTCCTAGTTCGCCCAGGACAAAGTTATTTTGGCCCAAGAACTCCCCAACTCGTATAAAAGCAAGACTAAGCCTATTTTGAGAGGGGAGACGTGACTTTGAGGAAAAAATACACACAAGGAACATCCGGGAGCGAGGATATCTCAGGTTTCTTCATCCTTTCTTAGTATTCTCAATTATTCAACACTTGTGAATTTGTTTTAATCTTATCATGAGTGACTAAAACACATAGTTCTGGAGTTGTAATTTAGCCATGAATATTGTTGTTTGACGTTGACTTAACCTTGATTAGAATTTTCTAATATATGGTTATTTCTTCAATTCTGTGATTAACTGCTTAATTGTCTGGCCAACAGTTAGGTTGTATTTACTATCTGTGCTATGCTTGGTAAAGTTACGTCTAGATTAGAGATGAATTGAAGAGGGCATGATCTTAACTCTAAGTGGAGGGTCGGATTTATGGTTAGAATGGGAATATTCCTAGTACCATGCTCAATTGAATATCGTAATCTTAATACGTTCTTAATAGATTGATTCCACAAGAATATAGCGTTAATATATTTTGAATAGGCAAGTAGTAATTCAGGATAATACACGAGAGGAATTGTTCGATTAATTAGCAATCATGAGTGAATGGTATGAAAGGGAGAGTTGACTAAAACGTAATAGGATTGGTGAATTGATCACAATCCTGGAATATTAGCCAAATACACAATAACTATTTTGCTGCTTGATTAATTAGTTACTTGTTAGAATTATTGCTTAGTATAATCACACTTTTGAACTCTGATTGACTCGACTGAATAATAATCTTGGTGAAACTATTGGGTAGTTAACACAAGTCTCTGTGGGTTCGACATTTGATTTATCACTTTATTACTTGTATGACCACGTATACTTGCGTGTGCGTTTGGGAGCAACAAGTTTTTGACTATTCATTCACTGGCCCGGCTAATTTCATTACATTAGCAGTATTTAATGAACGTAAAGGAATATTTAACGGTACTTAACCAAAGTACTAAGATTACTATTTCTCTTTTTTATTTGTATGATGTAGTTTTGACTGAGCAAGGAATTTAGGAAAAAAGATAGACTTTTCAAACTTATCTTCTTAATATATGTTATAAAATTAGTGTGGCTATAATCTTTTGAAACTTGTAACATTTATATGACTATAAAAGCTACTCATTTAGAGTAAAAATGAAAAGTTAAGAATTAAATTATTCTCAACCATAATAATATTGTAGCATTCTTTTTAAATGACGAGAAAATAATATCACACAAATAACAGAGGCCAACATTTTTTTCTCCTAAACGTAATTAAGGACTAAATACTTACGCAGCAAACATTCAAGGGCTATTAGCGTACTTTATCTTTTACAAGTAATTTAATACTCCATCAAGGACCCACCTTAGGAATGTCAAACATTGTCGACTGATCGATTCTATTTTTCCTTAAGACAGAGAAATTAAATAATTGTAATTTTCATTCTCAAACTCTCTATGGCAGCAAGCTTCATGCCTTTCTCCTCTAAAAAGATATTTCAAACATTATTAATTAAGCACTAGTATACATTAATTGTCAACGTGTCACGCACACAATCATCAATTTTATCGTCTTTCTCCTATAAAAACCCCATCCTATGCTTCACATTTCATCACAACTGCAACAAGAACTTGTTTTAGTATACTTTCTTTCACAATAAATTAAAGGTCTCTTCCAAACAACAAATTAAGAAAACATGTCTTGCTGCGGAGGAAGCTGTGGCTGTGGATCTGGCTGCAAGTGCGGTAGTGGCTGCGGAGGGTAATTAGTTCTGATTCCGTACCATCATTTATTATTTTAAGCTACAGACATTGAAATCTAGAGTCACTAGCTAGGTTCATAATAAGCACTATTTTATTATATGTATAATTTTTTATTCTTTTTCGCATGTACTGTATACATAATTTTCGTCAAAAGTACTAATGAGTTTAAACAGGATTCTCCATTAATTTGCCTGGGTGCCTGACCCATTTTTTTTCTTTTTCACCCCACCAGAAAAACTATATAAGGATATCAATTTGTTAATTACTTGTGTTTGTTTTATCATAATGTAGATGTGGGATGTACCCTGACTTAGAGAAGTCCACTACCTTTACCATCATTCAGGGTGTTGCTCCCATGAACAAGTACGTCTAATTTTACTTTTTTTTCCTATGCTTTTTGGTTTAAACATATAATTATTAAATTCGGAAAAGAATCAAAGAATATTATAATAAGTAACTGAAAGGCTAAAAACGAATTACTTGAAATGTTGCAGCTTTGAGGAATTCGGAGAGAAAGCAGCAGAAGGAGGAAATGGATGCAAGTGTGGATCAAACTGTACCTGTGACCCTTGCAATTGTTAAGATAATTCCACAATAATTTAAGCGTGTGCTATAAAAGCTTTTGTAATAATAACGATAAGACTGCAGCCATGGAACTGTGATCTGATATTAGCTCTTAGCTTTGTGTGTCGTGGCTTTTCTTTTTAATTTTGTTTCTCTATGTGATGTTTTTCTACTGTGTGATTTGGGCTGTAACACAAACGTATCAATATACAGTACTAATATATATATGTTTGTTCCTTAAATTTTTATGATCAATTTTAATTAAGCCAAGTAGTACTAATTGGACATGAGAATTAACTGCAAATAATTAAATAAAAAAGGCAGCCCGGTGCATTAAGCTCCCGCTATGCGCGGGGTCCGGGGAAGGGCCGGACCACAAGGGTCTATCGTATGCAGCCTTATCTTACATTTTTGTAAGAGGTTGTTTCCATGGCTCGAACCCATGACCTCTTGGTCACATGATAGCAACTTTACCAGTTACGTCAAGGTTCCCCTTCGAGAATTAACTGCAAATATGAAGATCAAAACGGAGTTGTTTTATAACAGTTTGGCCAAGCTTCAAAAATCAGCTTATTTTGAGAAGTGCTTTTTTTCAAAAATACTTTTGGTGAGAAGCAGTTTGTGTTTGGCTAATTAATTTAAAAAATACTTCTAAACAGTAATTAGTGTTTGACTAAATTTTTAAAAAGTGCTTCTAAGTATATTTTTCTCAAAATTGCTTTTCAAAAAAGTGTTTATGGAGAGATACTATTTTTTTTTACTTCTCTAAAACTGCTTCTGCTTCTACTCAAACGCACTTTTTTCCCTCTAAAAGCTTAACCAAACACCTTAATTTTGTAAAAAAAAAAAAAAAAAAAAAAAAAAAAAAAAAAAAAAAAAAAAAAAAAGCACTTTTAGAGAGAAAAAAGTACTTTTGGTTTGAAAAAGCTTGACCAAACATACTATAATAGTCTCTGCTATACCATGTTTATTCTTTTCATTTATTTCTGAAGTCAAGCGTCTTGTGCTTATAGTATCTAATAAATTGACAACTCAAAAAGGAGAAGACAAGTTTAATTGATTTTTTCTATTTATTCTGTTGATGTTGAATTCCTGTGGACAAACATAACCACGGGTTGGTTTTTCCGTTTGGATGTGCATAGAACATGTTTTGAACATAAGTTTTACTAATGTGTAACATCTTTCATTTGTCGTTGCTACTGATTGCAAAATGTCAAGGTATCGCCATGCATGTTGAATGTAATTCCCTCTCTGTTAATTTCTAAAACATACACCAAAATAAAAATAATGTCATGAAGACATGGCGCCAAAAAACATTTCAAATTTCATGTACCAAGATATTACATATAGCTAGCTAGCTGCCACTCGATACAAGATCACAACAAAATTGACAATCGAGGTCAGATTATTGTACAAAGTAGTCTATAGTGTGCGCGTTTCGCGTGTACCCATATCATTGAGTATAAAGTTTAAAAAATTATATGACTAAGATTATTAAACAATATGTTTACGTTACAAAATAAAAATTAAAGAAAAATGTAAGTTTCTTGAAAATAATAATATTGATCCTATCGATTAGCTAATTCAATCAAGAAATAAATCATGTCCCGCTAAAGTCATTAGTTGCCTTAATAATTATTTTAATGTATGAGTTTTATATTTATTTTAGAAGTTTAGAGAAAGTGGTACAATGTTGATTCGCAGTCATTCTACTTGTACCAACATTTTACTTGTCTTTAATCTTTACAGTTCTCTACGAGGAAACAACTTTAAAAGTAAGCCTAAATGTTGTAACTCTACATTTCTATGAAGATGAATAACGTCTTTAATATGAGGATCGTCAATATTGATAACATATATAGAACAAAACAAAATGAATTTTTTTTTCATAATTAGCTCCGTAGCTCTAACTCTCCTTATGGTTTGCGATTACGCTTCCCTCCAGCTTGTTTTATTAATTACAGTCTGACCAATTCGACCCCTCTTCTTCTTCTTCTTAATTAATATTAGCAATTTCGTTTTTAAGAAAATCATCACCAAAATTTTACTCCTATACTTAGGTTAATGTAGTTCACGCCGAATAAATCCTTAATTGATATTTACATACAAAAATCGACTTTGCAGCTGGAGCAAATTAAGAGACATAATGAACAATTTATTACTACTTTTTCAAACAATTCAAGATAAATAGAACATTTTTGTTAGTTTGATATTATTTTAATGTATATGTTTCAATATTGTCTTAACATAGATCTAATTATGTTCCATTCAAAATACGTTCGTGTTTTAATTAAGTAATATTTTGATTCCCTTAGGATAAATAGTATTAAGGTTCAATTTTCAAAGAAAAAACAAATAAGGAAAAGTAATGTGAAAAACTCCTAAATATTAGGATTGAGCAAAAGTACCATGAAATATATTATGGTTACCCTAGATAGATCAAATAAGGAATGAATCTATATAAATAAAAAAAATTGTTGATTTTATGTCTTAACTATTTTTTACCTAGTTCAAGTAATTTTATAACCTAAATTTTAGTTGATTCAAAATACTAAATATTAGGAACATACTTTAAAACACAAGAAAAATCACAACATCACATGAAAATTATCAACGCAATAATCCCACATCATCACATAAAAATTATCAACACAATAACTCAATATCGTCACATATTATCTCTAACAATAGCCACTCTTATCTCTCCTATAGCCACTATTATCACTCCTATAATAGCCTCCCTTGTCCCTCCGCTCTGACAATATTAGTAGCCACCCTTATCGCTCATATAGCCACCCTTACCGCTCCTATAATAGCCTCTCTTATCGCTCCGTTTAATAGCCTCCCTTATCGCTCCGCCCAGATAATATCCCAACACACATAACAACAGTGAAATGACACCCTTATGCTCGCATAATGTCAACAGTGGAATGCCACCCCTTATACGCCGCATAACAGTAACCCAAATCATACAACAATTCACACAAGATATTATTACAACATCACATCATCATCAATTCATATTTACAAATTGCCCGTAGGCCACAACCATTCCAAAGGTACAATAAAGTCAATTAATTTCACAACAGATAGTTCACGGCTCAACATAATGCATATAAAATATCAAAAATAACCACAAGGATGGGAAAATAATGCATCATAGGACAACGCCTTCTTTAATCCAAATTTTAGATAAATATATAAACGCCTCAATTTAAACTTATTTAATTAATTACTTGCAGATGAAAAATCCATAATGTGATTATTTCCAAGAAATATCAAATCAATAAACACACGAAATTCACATAAAAATCCAAGTGGCAATCACATAAAATTATCATATAAAATTCAAACTCGACAAACAAGCAATGAGGCATGACAAATCAAGGATTTACTAAGCTTCAATAATTTTTCAATTTAATCCATAAGGGCGTCTACGTATTTCAACTGATATAATTTGCGCATTTAAACCAAGTACGTACTCGTCGCCTCGCGTACATGATTTTCAATTACACAATTTTTACATAAGACTCAATGCCTAATGGGTAATTCTCTCACTCAAGGTTAGGCAAGATACTTACTTCGACGAAACTAAGTCAATGCTTTAAATGATCTTCGCGAGTGAAGCAACCTCCGGATGGCTCAAGTCTGAAATTCGCCCTTTAATAATACTACGATGGTCCACCACACTAAACAAATTTCAATCTACAACAATGCAACACAATTGCACCAATATTAGTAGACAAATTTTCAGATTTTTGCTCATTTAGGCATTTTATCAAACACATAGAGTACATAGCATTTTACTACCTCTAGTAATGGTGTTTCTTCATCCAACAATCCGTCCTTCCCACCAATAAGAGATACTAAACCGTCCTTTGTCTACAAACAACCTTCTTTAGCACCATTAAAATCATCAATGAACTCACATCCACCCAATTATTGATAATTAATTCATTACAAAATCTCTACAACACCCAATAATCTAGTTTTAGTGTACGCGCGTTGCGTGTATCCTGTTACAATGATTATTTTTTTAAGAAATAAGATCGCATTAATATTATATTAAAAATTGTGCTTGAGTTATAAAATAAAAGTGTAAAATATGTTAATGTAGATAAATAAATTATGAATTTTTAACTGGCAATTTTTACTTTGATATAATCTAAGTGTAAAATATAAAATAAAAAGTTTAAGATATATAGCTCGTCCCAAATTTGAAATATTAATTGTAGTTACACTTTTATCAAATGCATTACAAAATTTTATTTTTAAATAAATAGTAAAGAATCAATGACTATTTTATTTTTGCTTCTTCATGCTTGTTGGACATTAGTGCTATTCAAAGTTCGTGGACCACTTTTCGCTCACTCTCTTCCTCATTTATATTCTCAAATATTTTCTTTGTTATTCTAGTTGTTGAGCTTAGTATTAAAATATTTACCTATCTATGACTTCAATATAGAGTAAACANTAACCAAAAAATATAAACAATTTTTCCTGGGCCCCAACTAAATGTATTCTAATAATAGAATATATTGAAGGAACTGTATTCTAACAGATAAATTGCATTACGGAATTCATTCAAAGTTTTGTAATTTTATAAATGCATCTTTTTTATTAAATAAAAGTTTATTTGATGTCAAAGTTTTAAACATTAAAAAAATATAATTATATTTTATAGTTCAAATAAGGCAGAATTTATATAGGAAAAAATATAATCGACTTTGAACTCCTAAATATTAGGAAGTCCTACACATTTAAATAGGAAAATATTTAATGGCCATAATTTTAGTTGTTTTTAAACTCCTAAATTGTAGGAAGAATAATTAAATGACAATTTTATCCAATGTGAAATCTATTTTTAAAAGATAAAAAAGGCTAACGACATTTTGCTAAAGACATTCGTGCTTTTAAGATAGATATTTGAGTAAAAAAATGTGCGTCCAAGTTCTGCCCTATATGCAGCACAAAGGACAGAACAAGAAAAACAAAGGAAAAGCTAAAGAGAAAAATAAATCCAAATGGAAAAGTACAAAGGAAAATTAAAAATAGAAAAAGTTGAGATAATATATAGCCAGCTAATTGCTAAGAACTCTCAGACTTGGGATGACAGTGGTGGAAACACCAGGGTCCTGTTCTTGTCCCCACCCTACCAAAACAGATGATATATAGAAGCAAAAATGTTAATAAAAAGGTACACAATTTGCATAATGCTTACACTGACACGAGCTTAAATTGA